TGTCGATCCTCGCAACTACGGCTTATGGGTCATTCAGGTCGTTGGAGTATCTGGCTCTGTGCTAATGTGGATCTCCCATCGGTAATCGACGGGGAAATCCATTTATAAAAAAATGTCGACTGCCATGAGGAGTTTTAATGTTTTTTGTTTTTTTTTTCTTCTTTTTTGTGTTGTTTTCTTATGAAGGATTTGTCTTTGTGCTGTGTCAGCTGTATTTATAATTCCATATTATGCTGACCAAAAATAGAACATGGTTTTCTCTCTCTCTCTCCTCTCTCTCTCTCTCTCCTCTCTCTCTCTCTCTCTCTCTCTCCTCTCTCTCTCTCTCTCTCTCTCTTCTCTCTCTCTCTCTCTTCTCTCTCTCTCTCTCTCTCTCTCTCTCTCTCTCTCTCTCTCTCTCTCTCTCTCTCTCTCTCTCTCTCTCTCTCCTCTCTCTCTCTCTCTCTCTCTCTCTCTCTCTCTCACTCGCGCTCTCACTTTCGCTCTCACTCTCCCCTCCTCTCCCTTTCTTTCTCTTTCTCCTTCTCCCTCGCTCTTCTATCCTTAAACGGAGTCTCCAGATATAAGAGCACATTCTGACATCAAGTACTCCTCCTTTCCACGCCTTCCTTCGCTATCCCTTCTCCTCTACGAACACCTTCCTCCCTCGTCTATCGACCACGCCGCAATAAAGGCTTTCCCCGTCTCATTCGTCGAAGGCAAATCCAGGCAGGAAGACTTATACACCTGTCGATCCTCGCAACTACGGCTTATGGGTCATTCAGGTCGTTGGAGTATCTGGCTCTGTGCTAATGTGGATCTCCCATCGGTAATCGACGGGGAAATCCATTTATAAAAAAATGTCGACTGCCATGAGGAGTTTTAATGTTTTTTTTTGTTTTTTCTTTCGTTTTTTTGGTGTGTGTGTGTGTTTTCTTATTTTGTAGAATTTCTGAGGTTGAATTGCTTTGTTGTAGGATAACTGACAAGTACCTCTGAGCAACTATTTTTACTCAACGGTTTATATAATCATGTACCATGATTTCACATGTTTTTTTTTCTTATTTCACAAAAGATTTTATCACTTTTGGTATTTATATTACTAATATTATTAACATTATTGTTGTTGTTGTTATTTTGTTGCTGTTGTTGTCGTCGTCGTCGCCGTCGTCGTCATCGTCGTCGTCGTCATCATCATCATCATCATCATTATGATTATCACATCAGCAGAAAGGAAATGTGACGAGGAAATACTTTTTTCCTCATTCTCAAATCACAAAAACGAAATTACGGAGACGTAGATTTATTTTAAAAAGTAATAATAATGATGATGATAATGATGGTAAGAATAAAGATATTGGTAATAACAATACTGATGATAGCAATTATAGTAATTAGAGTAATAATAAGGATATTGATAAAATAATTGATTATCATAATGATAATAATGATAATGATCATTATGATGATAATAATAATAATAATGATGATAATAACAATAAAAACAAAAACAATAACAATAACAACAATATCAATAACAACAACAATAATAATGCTAGTAACTCACCGTATAGCTTTGAGTCACAAGGGCCCCTCACTCTCAGATCTTTATAAGTCCTTCAGAAAGAATTAATAAAAAGTAATCCATTTCCTGACGTCGCCCGCGCGGCCTCATGACAGCTGTTCCTAATGCCTTCGAATTTCCGATATCGAAATCTGTTAAACATTAATGGCGATAGGCTATTACGTGTATGTACGTCTTCGTGATTTCGTCTTCTTTTGCATAAACTGGGGAAGGAAATGTTGTTGGTGGATGTGGGTAGATCTGAGGGGGGTGGGGGGTGCATGCGTGTGGCAAAACACTCTGTTATGTAGATACTTTGGTAGGTAAAAAAGAAAAAAAAAACACAAACTAGATTTATCGAAAAATGAGCATTCCAAGTACATCCTCAGTATGTATATGTATGTGTATCCAAATATATATCTTTTTTTCTCTTTTCCTCTCCTTTTTCTTTTCTCCTTTATTTCTTTGTTTTTCTTCTTCCATTTTCTGAGACCAAAACCTAAAAGGGACATTTAAGAAAGACACCGAGTTCACCAATCATGTTTATTTAATCAGTTTTTCAATAATCACAAAATCATCTTCGCTATTCAAACACAGCTTGGAGAATGCAATCAGTAATCTTTACGTGACTGAAACTTGAGGCGAGAAACTAATGAAGATTCTGTGTCTTTGCCGATACAAGAGCTTATCATTTGGAAAAAAAAAATCATTCTTTCATTCACTCTTTCCCGTTCATTAATTCTCTCTCAGTCTCTTTCTCTCTTTCTCTTTCTCTCTCTCTCTCTCTCTCTCTCTCTCTCTCTCTCTCTCTCTCTCTCTCTCTCTCTCTCTCTCTCTCTCTCATTCTCTCGCTCTCTCTATCTCTCTTTCACTTAATCAGTCACTTTCACTTTCTCTCTCTCTTTCTCTCTCTCTCTCTCTCTCTCTCTCTCTCTCTCTCTCTCTCTCTCTCTCTCT